AAGAGATTTAGAAAAAATATATTTTTTTTCCCTTCAGACCATAAGACCCAGACAATATAATAGCAAATAAAATTCAGATGACAAATTTATCTCACTTACTGTTATGACTGTCAATCATAGATTGTGTTGACTGTTGAAGCACATCATGTCTTAAAACTTTGAGATTGAAAATGGTGATTAAAATGAAGATTTTCTTGTGAACTTCACTGATGTTTGCTTAGCTATTTGCTATAAGTTTGACAAATCTGATATGCACAGAACTTTATGACTTATCCATCTTTAAACCAATTAGATGGGTCTCCTTGTTTATAATGTTATAATTTCTGCAAGAAAGCAAAAAGCAAATAATGACAATAATACTCAAAATTATGAAAAGTCAGAAATTCCTATTTCAGGTGATTTACTCTTCTGAATTCAAGGCAGCAAGTAAATTTACTATATCTGGCTTCAATTTTGCTTTATTTGACTAAAATACAACTAAGTGAATAAACAAAGAGTCCTTGGTGATCCCAAAACAAGGTCGCTAATGCTAATGAATCTTCTGAGTAATGAAACTTGTATTAAAGAAAAGCATCATTGGGGACAGTGCCCTCAGAGACAGAGAAAGAAAACATTAGACACAGGTCAGTAGGACAACAGAAAAATTAGCCTATAAAACACAGATACAGGTTGTCTTCTACAATTATGTTGCTTCACCTGAAAGATTTCATGCCATGGCTGTTGTTAGGTACCTTAGAGCGCCATAGAGATTTCATGAACAACAAATTGAAACTCTACTCTGTCCTACTTACCGCACCATCATTACCTCCACCATGTTCAGTCTGTAACCACTGTTACATATACTATGTCATTCGATCTCATTAAAGGCCTTATCTTTTACTGATCCTCTACTTTCCCAGAATTATCTCTTAATCCAAGTACTGACCTCTCTTGAAAAATTGCCCAAACTATGTGAGACAAAGTGTCACCTTTACCTCTAAAAAACACTTTGCTATTACTTTCTCCAAGACAAATTTGTTCTATTGACAATTCTTGGGATATGGATTACTCTTCACCAATTCCACAATTTAAAGGTATTGAGTTCTTCTCTGGTTTTCATTATCTAACTTTCAGATGCGTACAAAGTATTCATTCCAACTCTCAGATGCATACAAAGTGATTGAAAATGCTATGGCTTGAATCAGGCTACACTTTTAGTCTGTCAGTTTTTATCCTTGTTCTTTATCACTTTAAGTAGGTCATTTTTGCATGCACACAGTTAAATATCCAGAGGTCCCGCCTCATTTTTTCCCCAATGTGAACAATGATTTATTGTGATTAACACAGTTAAATGCCTTTTCAGGTAAGATGGAACTGCCAGACATACAAGAGTAATTCAGGGTATGGAAAGAAGGATGTAACAGGGAATAAAATAAAGAGACCTCATTTCTGGATTATTTATTTGCTTCATAAATTATTATATTTAGACAATTTAAACTAAAGAGATGAACTAGGGGGGGAAAAAGTGAAATTTTGTGTGTGTGTTGTTGTTTTTTTTTAGATGCCTGAAAGTCACTTCAGACTCATATCAATCCTATGTTCCACAGGTTGAAATCTTGCCTGATTCCATACCTGCTTTACAGGTGTCACCTCTGCTCAAGACCATTGTTGCAGTCATAGATAGCATCAGTCTATGTCATTGTGGGCCTTTTCCTTCTCTGACATTGCACCTTTCTCAGCATTCTGTCTTGTTCTAGGGATTAGTCTCCATTCTCCACAAAAAAAAAGTAATTTTTGCTAAGACGCATTTGATGAGAATACTTTTAGCATTTATCACCGTAATTAGTTTTTTAAATTTAAAATAACTCCTTATAAACAGAGTCCTACAATGTATATTTTGTTTCTATACTCCTCAATTCCAAATAATACCTTTAAAATCAATTTTTGCATTTTGTTCATGAACAGGTTTGGGGGTTTTCAAATTGCTCTATATTTTGAGCTCTGTTAGCCTATTGGCAAGAAGCTGTGCCATAATACTGAAGGCATGCTTTTGGCGGTCACCAGCTGCTCTGAAGGGGAAGAATGAACAATCTCCTCTCCTGGGATTAACTGCATCTGAAAACCCACTGGACGGTCAGCTATGGGTCAGCTCCGATTCTATGGTACACAACAACAACTTTTGAGCAGATACTTTATTAACTTGGTGGTTGTTAGGTGTACTCTAATTTTGACTTAGTGACACTGTTGACAGCAGTGCCACTTGAAACTTTGTACTATCTTGTATCATACTCACGTTCTCTGTTATTATCAAACCTGTTGTTATAGTCAGTTTCTGTGTCAATTCATTCTATTGAGGGTTTTACTCTCTGTCACTGACTCTCACTTCTTTTTTATACATTCCTCTTTTAATGACTTCACAGTATTAAACTCTGACTAAAATGATTTTCTTACTTGTTGGCCATTTGTCTTTCCTTTATTTTTAAACTTTATTTTTTTGTAATTCTTTTTTAATTTTAATTTTACACTGACTTACCTACATTATATGCATTGCCAAACACATTGGATCCCCTCCTCATCTCTGCAATCCAATTCATCCTCTACCCCTCAAACTGTCCTCCACCAATCAAATCACTCTCCACCAATGAAACTTTGTGACCCCATGATTACCCCCCAGTCTCCACATCTTTGTTCTCCCCCTTAGATCCTCAAACACGTTTACCAGTTATCTATTTTTTCATTTTTATTAATTTTAATAAACATTTACAGAGATTTTGGATTTCCATTCA